CCCAGCCGTGTCCCCGTGTCCCCAGGCTGGCGCGCTCCACGCTGACGCTGATCCCGCTGCTCGGAGTGCACGAGGTGATTTTCGCCCTGGCCGGGGAGGGCGAGGGCGGCGGCGGCCTGAGGCTGGCACGGCTGTGCCTGCACCTGCTGCTCACCTCTGCGCAGGTGAGGGGGCACCGGGGCGGTCAATTCATGGGGTTAATTATTGGGGTTAATTATTGGGCTCATTTGGGACCCCAATGCCTGTCTCAGAACCCCCCCCAAGTGTCCCCATGTCGCCCCCGCCCAGGGCTTGGTCGTCAGCGTCCTGTACTGCTTCACCAACAAGGAGGTGCGTCACCACGGGACGGGCGTGTCGCGACATGTGTCGCCGTCGCGGTGCCACATGTCGCGACATGCCGCCCGCAGGTGCAGGCCGAGGTGCGCCGGGGGTGGCAGCGGTGCCGTCTGGGCGTCCCCGGCCCCCCCAGGGCCACCCCGAGGGCTCGGTCCCGGCGGGGACAGCGCCCGGTGGCGGAGAGCGGCTGCTGAGGGGACACCTGGGGGGGCACCTGGTGGGGGGGCACCTGGGGGGGCACCTGGGGGGATACCTGTGCGTGCTGGGGGAAATGAATCTATAAGAGATTTTGGGTTCTGGGTCAATTTGGGGCAAAATCTGAGGGATTTGGGTTTTTCGGGGGAGCGGCTCAATGCCTTGGGGTTCAGCGGAGGGGGAACGGGGAGGGGACACCTTGGGGACACGGTGGGTGGTCCCCAGGTTTGTATCCTAAAAATAAAACGACCACGTGACACCCAGGGGTGTTGCGCAGTCATTTTTGGGGGGATCACTGGGGGGGCTACGGGGAGGTTGTGTGGGGGGGAACTACAACTCCCAACACGCCCCGCGGCGCGCCGCCGGCCGTCACGGGTGAGGACTACAGCTCCCGTGGCGCCCCGCGCGGCCGCCCGCAGCCTGGCGGGAGCGAACTACGGCTCCCGTGACGCCCCACGCGGCGCAAGCGCGGAGCGTGGCGGGCGCGAGCGCAGGCGCGGCGGGGCACCCCGGAAGCGGCCGGAGAGGCGGAGCGGCCGCGCCCGGCACTGCCCGGTGAGCGGGGGAGGGGCGGCGGCACCGGGTGGGGCCCGGCCAGCGAGGGAGGGGGAGGGACACGGGCTCGGGGCGTCGCGGGACGCCCCGGGGAGCGGCCGGGCCTGCGGGTCGGTGCCTGAGAGCGGCCACGGGGGCCTAACGGAGGGGACGGCGGGGGCTCGGGGGGGATCCCGGTGCGACGCCGAGCACCGGCGCGGGGAGACGGGGCAGCTCAACCGACACGCGGGGCGCGCCCGGTCGCTCCGGTGGTGTCCCCGCGCCCCCAGCGCGGCGGGGCCGGGTCCAATACCGCGTCCCCCCCGCCGGACACCGGCGCCGGTTCCCCCCACCAACCCCCCCCGGGCCCACGCGGGACCGGGACCGCGGCGCGGGCCGGGCGGGGCCGCGAGGCCACGCCCCTCCCCGTGGCCACGCCCCCGCCGCGCCGCGCGCCGCCGTCCATATATGGGCATGGCCCGAACGCCGCGCGCTGATTGGCCGCCGGCCGGGCGCGCGCGGGGGGGCGGGCGTTAAACGGGCGGGGAGGGGCGGGGCCTCCGCGGGCGGGGCGTGGGGAGGGGCGGGGCCTAACGGGCCCGGGGGTGGGGCTTGCGGCGCGCGTGGGAAGGGGGCGCAGCCCCGCGATGTCCCCGAGTGTCCCCGGGTGTCTCTCCCGTATCTCCCTGTGTCCCCCCCCGTGTCCCCTTGTGACCCCCGCTATTCCCCGGTGTCCCCGAGTGTCCCCCGTGTCCCTGAGCGCCCTCCCATGTACCCCACTGTCCCCCTGTGTCCCTGAGTCTCCCCCGAGTGTCTCTGAGTGTCCCCCCCCTTGTCTCCCTTGTCTCTCCGCAGGCCCGGGCGGCCCCGGCGGCGTGGCCGTGCCATGCGGCGCTGATGGAGCCCAACGCCTTCCCCCAGCTGCAGCTGTGGTGCCCGCGGCCCTTCGGCACCTTCTCCCAGAACAAGCCATGCGCCCCCGCCGGAGCCGCCCCCGCAGCCCCCCGCAAGCCCCAACCGCCCCTGGGCTGCCGGCCCTCCGAGAACACCCCCCCGGAGCCCCCCGAGCCCGGCCCGGCGCCGGCGGCCGCGGCCGAGGACGGGCGGGTGCTGCTGGACACATGGTACGTCATCAAGCCGGGCAACACCAAGGAGAAGGTGGCTTTCTTCGTGGCGCACCAGTGCGGCACCGGCGGCGCCGGCGGCACCGGGGGCCGCGCCAGCACCATGAAGGTCAAGGGCAACTGGGGCAGCGACAGCTCCAAGGCCAAGCGGCGCCGGCGCTGCCACGACCCCAAAGCGGCGCCGAGCCCGCCCTGGGCCGCCGGCACTGGTGACACCCCCAAGGACCCCCCTAAGGACACCCCCAAGGACACCGCCGGTGACACGGCCGGCGACAGCGCCGGCGACGCCCCGGACCTGCTGTCGGTGGCGGAGATGGTGGCGCTGGTGGAGCGGCGGGCGGCGCTGGCCCTGCAGAGCCTGCCCCGGCCCTGCGACGCCCCGGCCCCGCTGGTGCTGCTGGAGGCACCGGGCGGCCCCGAGTGCCGGCGCGTGGCCGCCGCCGTGGCCCAGTTCGAGTCGCAGCAGCAGCACCGGGAGCGCGGCGGGGCCCGGCCCAACGGGCTGTGCCGGGGCGGCCCCAACGCCGCCGAGTGTGCCACGGGCTCGGCGGCGGCGGCGGCGGCGGCGGCGACGGCGGGGCCCGGCGAGGTGAGGATCGCCTTCCGCATCTCCAGCGGGCGCGACCATCCCCGCGCGGCCACCGCGGCCACCAGCGCCGTGCCCGAGCGTCCCCGGGCGCTGGGCGCCAAGGACCAGATCACCTGCGACCTGTACCGGCTGGTCAGCCCGGCGCGCGCCGGCGTGGAGCTGCTGCTGGCCGCCAAGGGGGACAAGGACGGCACCGACGAGGCGGCCGCGGCACCGGAACCGAGCGCCGGCGCGGCCGAGGGTCCGGCGGCGGCGCCGCGGGACTGCGCGTCCGGTTTCCACGTGGACGTGGTGGTGACGGGCGTGGTGGACCAGTGCGTGTTCTTCGGCAAGGACAGCGCCAAGCAGGTGACGGAGGAGACGGTGCGGCTGCCGGACGAGCCGCCGCCGCCGGGCCAGCTCTTCCTGCTGCCCGGCCGGCCCGAGGAGCCGGCGGCCACCGCGGCGGCGGCGGTGCCGGGCCGGGAGGCGTCGGGCGACCCGGCGCTGTGCCGCTTGTACCGGCACGTGTCGCACGATTTCCTGGAGATCCGCTTCAAGATCCAGCGGCTGCTGGAGCCGCGGCAGTACATGCTGCTGCTGCCCGAGCACGTCATGGTGAAGATCTTCAGCTACCTGCCCACGCAGGCGCTGGCCGCCCTCAAGTGCTCGTGCCACTACTTCAAGTCCATCATCGAGACGTTCGGCGTGCAGGCCACGGATTCCCGGTGGAACCGCGACCCGCTCTACCGGGACGACCCCTGCAAGCAGTGCAAGAAGCGCTACGAGCGCGGGGACGTGTCGCTGTGCCGCTGGCACCCCAAGCCCTACCACCACGACCTGCCCTACGGCCGCTCCTACTGGATGTGCTGCCGCCGGCCGGACCGGGACGCGCCCGGCTGCCGGACCGGGCTGCACGACAACAACTGGGTGCACCCGGCCGGCCGCAGGGAGGACGGCAGGTGAAGGACGGACGGACGGACGGACGGACAGGGACGGACAGGGACGGGCGGCTCGGGGGGCGGGGGACGGGAAGGAGCCGCGGAAGGATGGAAAAAAAGGAAATGGAAAAAGGTCGAGTGTGGAATTGTGGAGGGGAGAGGAGGGCAGGGCACGGGGTGGGGCGGCCTCGGGGGTGGCGATGTCCCCAGCGGGGCTGGTGGCCCCAGGGAGGGTGACGTGCCCTTCCAGGGTGGTGTCCCCATGGAGGGCCAGTGGGGACACCCGATGGCAATGTCCCCAGCGGGGCTGGTGGCCCCAGGGAGGACGTTGTCCCTCAGAGGGTGACATTCCCATGCCCGGCGGTGTCCCCACGTGGGGACAGCCCAGCAGTGCCGGCCCCAAGGAAGGGGGTGGCCCCCCCCAGGCTGGGGTGACAGCCCCACAGCAGCGTGGCGGTGTCGGGGCAGGTGACGCGAGCCCCAGGAAGGGTCATGACCCGTCCCAGGTGATGTCCCCACCTGAGGTCACCTGTCCGGGGCAGTGACGGGTCCCTGCCGAGGTCCCACCTGGAGCCACGCCCCTGTCCCGGGGCTGGTGACATCACACGCTGAGCGTGACACCCGAGGGGGGCACAGTCCCAAGGGGGATGGCCCTGGTCACCCCCTGTGTGTCCCCGATGTGTGTCCCCGTGTCCCTCTGTCCCCCCGTGTCCCTCTGTCCCCCCCCGTGTCCCCCTGTCCCTCCCGTGTCCCTCTGTCCCCTCCATGTCCCTCTGTCCCCCCCCCGTGTCCCTCTGTCCCCCTGTCCCTGTGTCCCTCTGTCCCTCTGTCCCCGTGTCCCTCTGTCCCCCTGTCCCTGTGTCCCTCTGTCCCTCTGTCCCCGTGTCCATCCCCGTGTCCCTCTGTCCCTCCCGTGTCCCTCTGTCCCCCCCCGTGTCCCTCTGTCCCTCCCCCGTTCCCGCGTCTCTCCCTTCTCTCCCCGTGTGGGCGTGGCCTCCCTCCCAAGCCCCGCCCTCCGCCCAATCCGCGCTCTTTTCGTCGCCCCACGCGGCTCCACCCATTTCAGGCCCCGCCCCTCACCACGGATTGGTTCGCTCCGGCCCCGCCCCGCTCCGGCCCCGCCCCCCCGCCATGCGCCAGGTCCCGGCCGGGTCGCGCCGCTCTCGGGCCGCGGGTTCGAGTCCCGGTGCGGCCCCGGGGCCGCTCCCGGTGCCGGGGCCGGGCCGGTTCCGGTGGCTCCTGCCGCGCTCGCCCCGCCCGGCCCGGCCGCTGCTGCCGCTGCTCGCGGTGCTGGCGGCCGCCGCCGTCCTGTTCCTCTCCTGGCCCGGCGGGGAACGCGGAACCACCGGAACCTCCGGGCCGGTGAGCGGGAATCGGGGGGGAGGATTAACGGGGGGGCTTAACGGGGTGCGGGGGGTTAACGGGAACCTCCCTAAAACCTTTGGGGACCGACCGAGCTCGGCCGAGATCCCTCGGGACCGACCGGTTCGGGATCGGTTCTGCGCCGGGACCAAAGGACGCCGGGGGGTCCCGGAGCCCCCCCCCCGGGGGACCCCAGACCCCTCCGGGACCCCCCCGGACCCCCCGAATCTCTCGGGGACCCTTCAGACCGTGCCCTCCCCCCCCCCAACCCAGGACGCCCCCGGGCCGCTCTCGGACCGAGCCCTCCGGACCCTCCTGTCCCACCTGGACCCCGCCCGGCTCTGGGGGTCCCTCCTGCGGCCCCTCCTGCACGAGAGGGTCCCGGGGGGCCCCGGCAGCCGCGCGGCCCGGCAGGTGAGACCCCCCCCGGGACCCCCAAAATACCCAGAGAGACCCCCCGGGACCCCAAATCCACACAGAACCTCCCAAATCCCTCAAAGCCCCCCCGCCCCAGATTCCCTCCAAAAGCGGCCCCCAAATCCCCCCAGATCCCACCCCAGACTCCCCCAAATCCCCTCCAATTCCCCCCCCAACCCCCCATTATTACTATTATTATTATTATTATTATCACTATTGTTATCATTATTATCATTATTGTTATCATTGTTGTTATCGTTATTATTATCATTATTGCTATTGTTATTATAATTATAACAATTGCTATCGTTATTGTTATCATTATTATTACCATTATTATCATTATTATTACCATTATCGTTATCATTATTATTATCATTATCATTATTATCATTACTACTATTATTATTATTATTATTATTATTATTATTATTATGCTTATTATTATCATTATTACTGTTGTTATTATAATTTTAACTATTGCTATCGTCATTGTTATCATTATTATTACCATTATTATCATTATTATCATCATTATCATTATTATTACCATTATCGTTATCATTATTTTTACCATTATCATTATTATTATCATTACTACTATTATTATTATTATGGTTATCATTATCATTTTTGTTATCATTATTATCATTGCTATTATCATTATTATCATCATTATCATTACCATTATCGCTATTATTATCATTATTATTACCATTATCATTATTATTACCATTACTACTACTATTACAATTACTATTATTATTACTTTTATTACCATTTTTATTATTAATTTCCCCCCCCAGGGAGCTGCAGCAGCGTTTCGGGGTGTCGGAGCTGCCGTCCGTGGTGGTGCTGGCTCCGAGCGGAGCCGTGCTGGTTCCCAACGCCGTGCGGGAAATCCTGGATTTGGGAACCTCCTGCTTCCACAACTGGCGGGAATCGGCCGAGCTGCTGGACAGAAACTTCCAGGAGCGAGAGGAATTCCAGGGATTCCCCCGGCGGAGCCTGACNGGCCCACCTGCGCTCGCTGGGAGCCCCGTGGCACCTGGAGCTCGACACCTTCACGGCGCCCACGCCCCGCGGCCGGGTCACCTTCAGCAGCCTGGTGGCCACGGTGGCCCCGGTGGCCGCGCGGCGCCTGGCGCTGGCCTGTCACTACGACACCAAGGTGGTGGCCAGCGGCCCCTTCGTGGGGGCCACCGACGCCGCCGTGCCCTGCGCCCTGCTGCTGGAGGTGGCCACGGCGCTGGACACGCACCTGAGGAGGAGGGGGGAGCAGGTGAGGGCTGGGGGGGTTGGGGGGGATGGACACGCACCTGGGGGGCACCTGGGGACAGCTGGGGGTCACCTGGGCCCCTCCTGGACATCCTTCAGGTGTCCCTCACCTGGGTCCCTACGTGTGTCCCCGTGGTCCCTCCACACCCGAGGCCACCTGGACAGGTGTGTGCCAGGTGTGACCGGGCAGGTGTGTCCCAGGTGTTGCACAGGTGTGTACCAGATGTGTGCCAGGTGTGTCATGTGTTGCACAGGTGTGTGTCAGGTGTTGCACAGGTGTGCCAGGTGTGTGCCAGGTCTGTCGTGTGTTGCACAGGTGTGTCCCAGGTGTGTCTCAGGTGTGTCCCAGGTGTGTCCCCAGGTGTGACCGGCCAGGTGTCCCCGCAGGACCCCCCGGTGACGCTGCAGCTGCTGTTCCTGGACGGGGAGGAGGCGTTTGGGGACTGGAGCGCCACCGACTCCCTGTACGGGGCGCGACACCTGGCGGCCAAGATGGCGGCGCGGGGCCACCCCGCGGGGTCAGAGGTCACGGCCATGGTCAGTGACACCGGGGGGGACACCCAGGGGGGTCAGTGACACCGGGGACACCTTGAGGGGTCAGTGACAATGGGGACACCTTGAGGGGTCAGAGGTCACGGCCATGGTCAGTGACAATGGGGGGACACCGTGGTTGTGTCCCTGTCCCCTCGCTGTCCCCTCGCTGTCCCCGCTGTCCCCTCGCTGTCCCCTCGCTGTCCCCTCACTGTCCCCTCGCTGTCCCCTCGCTGTCCCCTCACTGTCCCCTCGCTGTCCCCTCGCTGTCCCCTCGCTGTCCCCTCACTGTCCCCTCGCTGTCCCCAGAGCCTCCTGGTGCTGCTGGACCTGCTGGGTGGCCCCGGCCCCGCCATCCACAGCCACTTCCCCCGCACCCACCACTGGTTCCTGCGCCTCGTCACCATCGGTGCGACACCGGGGGACACCGGGGGGGACAGCGGGGGGGACAGCGGGGACAGGACTGGGGACAGCGGGGGGGACACTGGGGACAGCGGGGGG